GAGGGCCCAGGCCTCCTCGACTGCCTTCCTGGCTCAGGTCCCAATCCAGGACATTTGTAGAGCTGCAGTTTGGTCTTCGGTACACACATTCACTGCTCATTATGCGCTGGTGCAACAATCCAGAGACGATGCTGCCTTCGGGTCAGCGGTTTTGCACACAGCAATGTCTCACTCCGACCCCGCCTCCTAGGTGGGGCTTGGGAGTCACCTAACTGGAATGGATATGAGCAAGCACTCGAAGAAGAAAAGACGGTTACTCACCGTTGTAACTGTTGTTCTTCGAGATGTGTTGCTCATATCCATTCCAAACCCGCCCCCCTACCCCACTGTCGGAGTAGCCGGCAAGAAGGAACTGAGGGGGCACTGGGTCGGCTGGGGTATATATCCAGCGCCATGAAGGCGCCACTCCAGGGGGCTCCACAGCCGACCCACCGGGTATTGCTAGGATAAAAGTTTTCCGACGATCGTGCACGCGGCGCGCGCACACCTAACTGGAATGGATATGAGCAACACATCTCGAAGAACAACAGTTACAACGGTGAGTAACCGTCTTTTCTATGACATGTACCTAAACAGCATCATTTTTCAAATGCAGACTAGGTCTGACAGTTGTGCTCAGGGGACAGTAACATACACATGTCCAAACAAAACAGCTCAAATTTCATAGCTCCAATGTGTGCAGTTGCCACTTGTATTTGTGAGCCACCCACTGGCTGAACCATCCTCTTGTAAAACATTCAGTGAATAATTTCAAACAAAGAACAGATTCATGGAAATCATGATCTAGGGTTTACCTGGTCCTGCTAACACTTGCAAAGACTACACCTGCCTTGTCCACACTAGGATTTACCATGCGTTCACTAAGAAAGTAAAATTCCCCACCTTTTTTTCCTAGTATAGATATACTGTGAGTGTGCCAGCTGAAATTTTCTTCCCCAGAAACACATTCATGAAAAAAATATCAGCTGGCAGGGACATTGATTACATTTATTTAGCTTGTAAAGCACTTGGAGATTCTGATAGATGGTGCTACAGCAGTAAAGAAGTTTTACATAAAGCACATACCTACACATTCACTACCTCTGCAGCTATTCACATTGGGTCAGATGCTGTGCAAACTTCTGCACATGTGTAAATTTACTCATCTGAGTAGTCCCATTGACTAAATGCTCTCTGACTTGGCCATTAATGCTTCATATTTGGAGGAGTTTGGAGATGTGTCAGAAATAGCCCTTCTTAGATAAATGAAGACTAAAAACCAGTTTATTGACTTATGGTAGAAATAGAAACTTCTGTCTCTTCCAAAAGGGGAGATAAAATATGATGAAAAAAATGAAACAATGGTACATAAACAGAGTATTACCTTTTTTTTCTTGGCAGGACGTCAGTGAATTCCAAGATCCCATTTGATATACAGCAGAGCTTCATTTTTACCTGAAAAGTAAATAAGAAAATGAACATTTTTAATCAACCGATTTCCCAAAATTCGTAGTTGAGGTTCATAGTCTTACCAGGCACCTTTGCTGTACCTGAAAATCAGACTATGGTTTAATCATTTACAGGATCCTAGTATATTGCTCCCCGCAAAGAGGGCATGACTCACCAGGCCCAGAGTCTACATCTGTTAAAATAAAGCTTATTTCAATATTAAGCTGGACCAAAAGGAATCTGCAGGCATAGAAAATGACAAAAAAGCAGATTTACTGTTCCTGCAGGTTTAAATTGAAATCCCTTTTAGATGATGCAATTGTGAAGATTTAGTATCATATGATTTGTGGTCTCTTATCTTCATAAGGTTATTCTTGCTTTCTTCCAAAGGTCTACTATAAGAACACACCAGGGATAATGAGAGGATTCCTTATTCCCCAATTAAGCCTTATGCCAGCTGGGCTTTTTGAGGGAAAACTAAAATAACATGAATACTCCATGCACTATACCTACATATAAGACCCAACACTATTTAAAAAAAAGTTTCAAATATATTGTAAAAACAAGCGGGAAGTTGCCATTGCACTTGGAAGGGCAGGAAAATGCACCTTAATATTTGAGTCCCTGATTCTGGAAAACATTCCTATTCAGGACAACACTTAAGCAGGTGCTGAAGTCCAACTGAAATCAATAGAATTTAAGCCAGGCTTAAGAACTGTCCTGAACAGGCATGGACTTTGCTTAAGTACTTTCCTTGAATGGGGGTTTGAATGCCCAAGGGAGAACTTCAAAGTATTTTTTGTAATAATATAATGCATTTTGCAATAACTGAGTTTTGTATTTTTCCCATGCATCTTACATTTGGGAGCCACATTTTCTCTGTTGAAGTGTATTATGTCAAACTAGAAAGTGTCAGTCAAATGGCAGCTACACAGGAGGACAGCAGGGCCAATCAGTTCTGAGGTATGAAAACATGGGCCATTAGCTCTAAAAACAGGATAACTATCATTTTAATGTTTTTTCTTGTGTGATTTTATATATATAAATATAAACATTTATTTGGCTATGCATCATAATCATTTCATTTTTCCATTACCTTTTATGGTTTTATGCAATCAAATGGTATCTCATCTGGAATATGGAGGCTATTCATTTTACAGTAGTGTAAAAAACATACATTTAAGAACATTCTGATCATATTCAACATGTGTAGAAGCAGGATCATATTTGCTTCCTATAAATCAGAAGTCAAACACCACTTTTGGCCTGCAGATCTTGTGCCTATGAAGTGTTCGCTTCTTCCTTTTTTCACCAAATTGATCTCCGCCCTGCTGTGTGTCAAGGACAAGAAGACATGCCTGCAAGAGATGTATTGCAGTCAGCCCTGAACTCAGGAATTCTGAAATCACGTATAAATGTTTCAAAGGGAAGTCTCTGAAAAGTCTGAAGGCTGCCAAGGAAGCCTTTTTAAGTTCTTGTTCATTTCACTCTTTAATCATTTTTGCAAATAATCATTTATTGTCCAACCTTAAATCTTCTCGTTTATTTTGTTTGGTGGCACATGTACAATTAACACAAAAATCCAAATTAATAACTGGGGAAGAGCACAGTAACGCTTTTTGGTACATTCCATACTAAGTTTACACAAACCTCAAACATTGGCATTTATTATGTTTTGAACAGATTTTTTTTTCTTCATTAAAAGAGTCTTGGCTGTTTTAGGAAAACTGCACAATAAAATGAATGAAACATTTTCCTTATCTAAATTTTCACTAAGTTAAATCATAGCACCAAGTAGCCAGAAATGACTGAATGTAACACAAGAGGAAGGCACCCAACTCCCCCTGAAAGGCCTCTTTTAACATCGCATCCTGAAAGGGCAGAACAAACCGAATACCACAAGTAACAGCTTTAACATCCAGTAGGATAAATTAAAGAGACCTATATTTGCTAATCTCCTGCTTTAAAAAGCCAACAGTGCAGAGTACAACTTGGTATGTGTGACGTTATTGACATGAACTGTGACCGTATAGATCATTGTTGCAACCAAGGTCCTATAGTTGCACCAAATCTTGTATAAAGGAGGTCAAGGAAGTTGTCTATAGTAACTTGTCTATTGTAATTTTCTGGTTATGATTATGCAGTATTTGTGTATCATTTTTTATTTGAAGTTATGAATATTTCTGTCTGTTATTACTTGGAACCACTTAAATCCTACTTTTTATATTTAATAAAACCACTTTTGCTTATTAATGAACCCAGAATAAGTAATTAATACCCGGGGGAGCAAACAGCTGTGCATACCTCTCTATCAGTGTTATAGAGGGCGGACAATTTATGAGTTTACCCTGTATACGCTTTATACAGAGTAAAATGGATTTATTTGGGGTTTGGATCCCGTTGGGAGCTGGGTGTCTGGGTGCTAGAGACAGGAGCACTTGCTAAGCCGTTTCAGTTAAGTCTGCAGCTTTGGGGCATGTGGTTCAGACCCTGGGTCTGTGTTGCAGCAGATTAGTGTATCTGGCTCAACAAGGCAGGGTTCTGAAGGCCCAAACTGCCAGAAAAAACAGGCTCAGAGGTAGTCTCAGCACATCAGGTGACTGTCCCAAGGTGGTTTCTGTGATCGAACCCGTCACAATGGCCTAGTTGAACAGGATCTGTGTACAGCTGATTGCTTTGAGACACTGGTAGTGATTTTAAGTGAGTTTTGAGTGTGGTGGCTGGAGAACAGAAAGTAAGTTACCAATCAAAACAAAACAAAAACAGGCAAGTCTAAGTCTAATACATTAAGAAACTGATTACACATGAAATCTCACCCCAGAGATATTCCAATAAGCTTCTTTCACAGACTGGACTCCTTCCTAGTCTGGGTCCAGCAATCACTCACACCCCCATAGTTACAGTCCTTTGTGCCAGTTTCTTTCAGGCATCTCTTTGGGATGGAGAGGCCATCTCTTAAGCCAGCTGAAGACAAAATGGAGGGGCTTCAAGGGTCTTTTCTATTCTCTCTCTTGTGGGCGGAAACCCCTTTGTTTTTCTGTGCAAAATCACAGCAACAAGATGGAATTTGTAGCCACTTGGGCAAGTCACACGTCCATGAATGGTTCAGCTTTTTGCAGGCCGACGCCATTGTTTACATGTTAGTTGAACATTCCCAGGAAAGCTAGGATGTGGATTGGCATCTCCCAAAGTCCATTGTCAGTTAAGTGTTTCTTGATTGGGCACTTACTGAGAATAGTCCTTTCTCAAGAAGCTGACCAAATGCTTCACTGAGGCTACTTAGAATCAAACACATTGAGATACAAGTACATAGCCAATATTCATAACTTCAAATACAAAAATGATGATGATGATGGGCGATCACTCGTTACCGATATGATCATCTTCCATGGGAGTTATGGGTCTTCAAGTGGCTAATAAGGCCAGTCCCTGAACCACAAGTTCTATTACAATGAGGGCAGATGTTTTCAGGCTCAGCAGGAGGCTGCTGACCATGACTGGAAGCCAGTCTCTCCTTCCTCCTACGCCTCTTGTCATCTTCAGCTTGTCAGCGAGCAAGTTCGCAGTCTGTTCGAATGCCACGATCTTCAAAAACCCTGTGCCATAAATGAGAAAAAGCTACACTGGCACAGCTCAGGTGATGCTGAATTTCTGCATCAATATCTGCCTTGGATGAAAGATGACTTCCAAGGTAGAGGAAATGATCGACATCCTTCAGTCCCACTCCATTGATTTTGATAGATGGGGCATGTAATACCTCATTTGGAGAGGGCTGATAGAGCACTTTAGTTTTCTAGAAATCAAGACAAGCGTAAGCATCGGCAAACACATTCAAGATAGTCTGAAGATCTTTCTCAGAGTGGGCAAAGATTGCGTTGTCATCAGCATACTGAAGTTCCACAATAGATGTTGTGGAGATCTTACTCTTGGTTTTCAGCCTGCTAAGCCTGAACAGCTTTCCGTCCATTTGTAAATGATTTCAACGCCAGCTGTAAACTTCCCAGCAATTAGGTAAAGAATGATGGCAATAAAAACCGCAAACATGGTTGGAGCGATGATACATCCCTGTTTGTACTTTAAAAGGTTCACTCTGGGAGCCAGTGCTGCTCAGAACAGTCGCTTTCATGTTATCATGAAGCAATTTTAGGACACTGATGTATTTATCAGGACATCCAATCTTAGAAAGTACAGTCCAGAGGGCACAGCGATTCACTGAATCAAAGGTTTTAGTTAGATCAATGCTCCACGCAACATCGCTCTCAGGGTCATGGAGACACGCAAGCCTCTCCACCACTACAAGGTGGTGATCCATGGAGAGGACAAAAATGATAAACACATACAGACAACATAATCATAACCAGCAAATTACAACCTCCTTTGTACAAGTTTTGGTTCAACTATAGGACCTTGGTTGCAACAATGATCTATACGGTCACAGTTTATGTCAATTAATGTCACAGTATGAATTCTTCTAGTTTTAAAAAACCCAAAGAAACAGCCAATACAAGAGCTCTGCCTAAAGCCCATTGATGTCAATGGAAAGACTCCCATTGAATCAACTGAATTTGAATCATAGTCACACATTATAAACTCCGCTATAATAATTTCAATCGTAGAGCAAATGAATACCAAATGCCTGCACTGAAACTCCAGATATCCTCTTCAGGAAAAAAAAATCCAATCTGCTGCATTAAGTGTCTGATTAATGAAGAGAACAAAAGCTGCAAGTGGCTCAGAAGCTCTTGTGATCTGAAATACGTGCCCTTTAAAAAGTTCTTATACAGGCTTTCCCTTCAGCTACTGCTGAATTATACTGCTGCTGATTCAGCAAGAATTTCAGCCTTATTGACTAGGGAGAGGTATATAATTTTATACCATAAAGTTTTTGAAGAATCCTGTGACAAATGGGAGCACAAAGAAGAAGGGGGAAAAAAGGTATAAATAGCTGAGGATGAAGAAATACAATATATACATCCAAAGTTAAGTATGGTCACAGCAAAGCAGTACAGTGCTGAGGCTTTACCAAACGCAGGATGGAAGAAATGCAGAAAGCTGATGTTTTCTAAATGCCAAAGTAACATGGTAGAGAATTAAATGATCCGCTGACTTCTCCCTCAGGACAAAACAAGCTAGTCCTGATATAACTAACTGTGAGTATAAATTTCAGTGACAATTTTTCCCTTGACATGTCATATTGCCAAAAATGTTCAAGGTGTATACTACTGATAGTTATTTTGAACAGTTTCCAGAAAAGTAAGCAGTATGTCCCAGAACAAAAAAAGCATCCCTTTCCTACTGAAGATCAAATAACTATAACGGATCAGAATTTTCCTCCCATTTTAGAGCTTTTTGTGATATTTCCCAATCTACCCTGATGCCAACATACAACATAAAGGATAGGACAGTTACCTGATTTGGAATTTAGAGACAGCATGAAATAGTACCAAAATATTTGAGTTATACTAAAGCTATACTGTGTTTTGTATAAAATTCTGAATTTATTCTTTCTGACTTTATAAATTCAGTATCTAGTAAAGTTAATATTTTGTGAATCCAGCTGTATTGCTCCGAGTGGGTAATAAGAGAAAAACTGCATTTAAAATCTTAAACCCAAAGAAGCCTGGGAAAAATTCTCTGTTCATTATAGTAAAAGTGAGAAAAATACAACAAGCAACAACAAAGACCTTTTTGCAAAAACTAATTTATAAGAGACATGACTTGGTCTAGGCTTGGCCCACGTTTTAGGGTCAGTAAAAATGTCCAAAAACTTTTAAGGAACTTGAGGACAATGAAAGTGTTTCCATTTTTATTTTTAAGCTCCTACAGGATGTTTTTAAATGAATAAACAGCCCTTTGCAGCATCTGCAACCTCCACAATGCATCATTGTGCTTGTGCCGGAAAATCTAAGCTGAGAAATGCAAAAGTAAAACAGCAGACACAGTAAAGAGTATGTCAGATACTTAAAATTGTTTTAATCCAAGGTGTTCTTGAAGGGAGTCAGTTTGTAACCTGATAGTTTCCCTTTAAATTGGCTTTTTTCTCTAAAAATAGAAGACACTGTACCTTTTATATATATTTTGTATTTTATTTAATGAACACTTCATGATTATTGCCCAAATATTCTCACTCATTTGACCTAATAAAGAGGTATTATTGCTTGTAGGTAGGGCCCAATTCTGAATCTGGATGGAATGTACATATCTCTGTTGAGAGAAGACTCAGGTAAAGGTGGAACCGGACACATACACATCAGTAGCTTTTAAGACTTCATGTATAAGAGATCACATCAAAATACTGATGGTTCACTTCTCTATACTGTTGAGCGTTTTTGCTGGACTACACTGCCATTTGTGCACTCTTCTAGCCTTAGGAGAAAGAAAGAAGCTTCCTTCTATTGTAAAATTTGAACACATGTACATTTACCTGCAGTTCTGACTTTTGCACGGTATTACACAAAATGCAAAGCTTCCCCATGCCTACTGCATTAAACACTATCCTGACTACATGATTTTATAACATTACAAAAGTGATTACTTTAGATTTTGGAAGGTGCTTTTATAGTATGTATGTATTCCAGATTTTTCAGTTTTCTGGAATGGAAACAAACAAGTAGCTCAGCTGGTGTATTTAAAAAACATGTTTAAACTTGGTTTGCTTTAGTTGAACCAAGATGAATAAGAGTCATAACTGTAGTATAACCATGGAGTAGATCATCCTTTATGTCATTGCATTCTCTCAGTATGAAATTCCCAGTGACTATTCGATCACATCCTATTTCTCCATGTCCAAAAAAGCCAAATAGGGGAACATTAGGGAAAAACTTCCTAAATGCATCTGCTTCAAGATTCCTTTTGGTTTTATAATACTGGTATCCTCTGCCAACACACGCAAACATGAACCCAATGGTGTTGTGCTCAGGAATGTTTGCTGCTTTGAGACGCTGCATTGCTGCTTCTACAGTCTGTTCATCAGTTACATCCTGGTCTAACAAAACTGTAGCACTCTGTAGCTGGGGTCCACTGAAAGCCAATCCAACCACACCATAGGAATCGCCAGCCTCAGTGTTACTGAAAGACAACAGACACCAAATTAGAAAAGATTCCAAAGGAACCGATCTCGATTTAAATACAAAGGCTGCACTAGAACATTATACAAACTGAACACCCAGTATAGACGACAATATTCTAAAGAGATTTTTTCAGTCACCCACAAAAGCAACAAAGATGCTCCAATAAGTCAAGTCAAAGGCAGACTGGCAGACACCCGCTATTCACAAGCCAATGGCAAACCTTTCCTATTCCTCAGCAATGGAAAGATATCCTTCTTGGACATTTGGCATAATGTCCATGGCATATGTTTTCCCTTGGCAAACATACTATAGAACAGCATTCTCCAACTTGCAATACTTATGCACAATGGGGTTTAAAGAGTACTTCAAATCAGAACATTGTCTGAGCATCGATTACTATATGGATATAAACTGGCCGTTGGGAAGTTTAGGCTTGAAATTAGACAACGCTTTCTAACTGTCAGAGGGGTGAAGTTCTGGAACAGCCTTCCGAGGGAGACAGTGGGGGCGAAAGACCTCTCTGGCTTTAAGATTAAGCTTGATAAGTTTATGGAGGGGATGGTTTGATGGGATAACGTGATTTTAGTCAATAGGTCAATAACGTGCCATCGCTGGTAATTAGTATCAATGGTCAATGCGGGTCTGGCTGGAGAATCTTGCCCGCATGCTCGGGGTTCTACTGATCGTCATATTTGGGGTCGGGAAGGAATTTTCCTCCAGGGTAGATTGGCAGAGGCCCTGGAGGTTTTTCGCCTTCCTCCGCAGCATGGGGCAGGGGTCGCTTGCTGGAGGATTCTCTGCGACTTGAAGTCTTTAAATCACGATCTGGGGACTTCAACAGCTGAGTCAAGGGAAAGTGGGTGGGTCAGCTTTTGTGGCCTGCATCATGCGGGAGGTCAGACTAGATGATCATAATGGTCCCTTCTGACCTTAAAGTCTATGAGTCTATAACTACCAGGGCTGTCAATTGCAGTTAAAGCCTATGATTAACTGAAAGTAAAATTAACAGGTTAATCGCATACCTGTGGGCGGGGTGGGAGGCACTGGTGGCAGGGGGGCTGGAGCAGCCCTAGCCCACAGCTCCCCAGACAGCGGGGAGGGGGATGGAGCCCAGCACCCCAAACCTCAAGAGCGACTGAAGCCCTGTGCCCCCAGCTCTGACCCTATATTTGAAAATATAGAAAACCCCCAAAATATTTAAATGGTATTCTAATATTGTTTAACAGTTCGATTAAAACTGTGATTAAGATTAATTTTTTTAATCGCTTGACAGACCTAGTAGCTACATATTGAAGCAGCATCTTTTGTAGAGACTGAGGCTAGCAATTTTTTCAAAAGTTAGAAATCTCAGGCCACAGAATTTTCAAAAACCCAGGGGATTATCACTGACATCTCAACACCTGACAGGAAGAAATTACGTACACTGGACCCCCTGCTAGAATGCGGGGCTTTGGATCCATGCACGGTTCCACGTTCCTATGGATTCCAATGAAGGTAATTACATCTGGGATCCATGCGCGGTCCCGCGCTATAACCGTATTCGCGCTAGAAAGACGCACATTCTAGCGAGGGTCTGCTGTAGTTGTTTCACATTACAATGGACAAAAATGGAAGTAATACACTTAAGGAACAATTTAACACACAAATTGGAAGACATGATAGCAGACACACACACACACACACACACACAAAAATGATGAAATCTGTAATGTAAAGCTTTTATAAACTGGCTGGCAAGACTGGCCTCCCTAAAAATGAGCAATTACAATGTTACTATATAATGCATAATGAGAAAGAAAAGAGCACAAATGCTGAAGAGTAAATCATACAGAAGGCAGAATCGATTTCAAGCAAAGCACTGTCAAACTGGAATAAACTCTCACCAGTAAAGAATCTTCAAAGCAGGAAATGTCCTCTCTAATTCACCTGAAAGTTGCTCTCTAGAATCCAAGATTTAAAACTACTTTTTGTAACAGGCCACAAAGCAAAGACATGTGACAAAGTCTACAGCTTTTCCTATTAGAGTACACAGCAGCAGCAGCAGCCCTGTATCATCTTTCCTATTACATATTTCACTGTGATTTCAAGACTTTCCTTAATACTTCATTACTACTATGAAAAACAACACTGGTTAGAAAAAGGAAGTCCTTGGGTATTTCTTCTCCCCACATAAAAATGACATCACTGTGCTTGGATGGTGCCTTTCACGGATGTCTGACTCAGCCCTATTCACAGAGGTTTCATGTCCAGTGCTGTACCCTGCTACGATTCCACAATGTTTCATCACAAATTAACTTGAAAGAGATACCCACTTCTCAGAGGTCAGTGACGTCAAGCTCTCCACATACCCCCCAGCCAAGATGATACTTTTTTCATTTAAAGGATTGATTATCTGATTAAGAAACCGATTAGCTCCCGGCTTCCAGGAATTGTAGACAAATAGAAGAACCACACGGAGCTCTGGATTATTTTTAAGACCTGGGAATACAAAACAAAAAATAAAATTTTTTACCTTTAAGGCAGGGTCTCAGTCTCTGAAATCCAAGCATTTGAATTATTCTCATTATATTTATTTTACACCTACCCACAAACACATTCAGTAATGCTGCCTAGCTCACTGCTGTCGCAGCATTGGGGAGAAGCAAGTCATCCTGTGCCCTCAAGTGGTGGGCTGGACAGTTTGCATTTTCGAAGATTATATATATATACATATATACACACACACACACACACACACACACACACACACATACATACACACACCCCCATTAATGAATGCTGAGATTCTCCTCTATAGTGCTCAAAAGCTGGCTCTGTTAGCAGAAGGACTGTACAAACCCCTTCTAGCTCTCATCGACTCCCTCAATATTTAGCTTTTTGGGTTTTTCCCGTCACAGATGAGGTACCTGTCAATTCGCAGAAGTGAGCAAGCTCATACACAAACTGGCCAAATTACTCTTCACAAGCAAGACATTTTGCTGAGCACATAGTGTGTTGACTGTACATTACGTATATATTCCCCTGGGGATTCTTGCTCTCCTCCCCACACCGCTGCTCCTCACCATGGCATACAATTTGGGGACGATGGATGTTGAAGTATGAAACAAAACAAAAAAACCACCCTGAGCCCCAGTTTAAAAAAACCAAACAATCTGAAACATTTCCAGTTGCACAGTCCTGATTATTGTGTGATGACTGTTCAATAATGCAGGAAGCTACCAAAAGAAAATGACTGTATCCAGGATTGCAACATCCCCACTCATGCACTGAGCTGGAACAACAGGATTGCTCAAATTTAACTGAAGAGATCCAAGATCACCTCTCAAGAATACACTTTGTACTTTAGTACCCTGCTGGGGGGACAAAGTTATCAATCACTGGCAGCCTTGCATTTTTGCATTTATATGGTGGTCCATGCTTCCAGGGAACCTGGCCCACCCACCCAGCCAGGAGGCAACTCGAGTTTTGCAGTCACAAATACAGCAACTCACTTCACACAGAGCCCCTACAAAACTGAGGCTACAGCACACAAAGTATTTGATATAAAATTAAATGACTTGCCTGATTCAGTCAATTTGCTTTCATCAAAGACTTTAAAAAAGTGGAAGGTATGGATTTTCACACCATCAATTTTAGGGAACAATAAAGCAAAGCCAGCTTCACCGTCTTCGATTTCTTTAGGTCGATTGCTGCTTGAGCCCATTGGAGTAACTGATAAAGAAGCGTAATGTGAATATCTTGTTTATTTTGATTAAAATACTTTTGCCTACGTAATGACATACATAAAGGGAAACTGGGTAAAAAAAAAACAGGATGCAGGTGCTTTTGAAAATATTACCTATGGTCAAGTTGAAAGTTAGTCAATTTAAAAACAAAGTCTCATTTGGTACAGCTGACCCCTGCAAATTTCTGTGGGTTTACAACCATGTGTTCATACTTTTAAAAAGTGATGACTCACTCAAACGGGGAAAGTATATACAAAGAGTCAAATGCACAAGTAAACTGAAAATAAAGGAAAATTCCCTCCAAATTCTTTCAGTGATAGCCATTGCATGTCCATTGTAACACAGAAAGTGAAAAAAAAAATTAAGTGCCATTTTTAAATCCATTGTGTTTCTTTAAATTTTGAACAAACAGATCCAGGGAAGTTTGGCCAAGTAATCTGGATCAATGAGTTTATTAGAGATAGACTCCTCAAATATGGGAGATTTTCTTAACATACACCTAGGGGACTGGTCAGAAACATGACCCCAACCAAAAAATGTAATGTGTGCTTCATGCCATCCTCTCCCAAGGAGATACAGAGAGTACAGTCTATGACCTCTCTGCATAGTCACCTCTTATTTTGTAGATGCAGTCATATCAAAGATTAAGAAATGTGAATACTGTATAACTCGCTTGGACACGAAGTATCACTTGGATCTTAAAATAATGAAAACACCATAATAATTGGGTGTGGAAGCTAATACGATCATAGAGTTTATAGTGCTTTCCGAAGTTTGTGTCTGAAATCCCATAAATCATGTCTGAGTTGGTCAAGTCGGCTATACCATTGACCTTTATATGTGACTGCTGAGCAGGTTTCTCCAGAAGAAATTCCATAATAGCCACCAGCTGATACTGAGGCCTTTGATCCTAGTTCAAATATCTAGCACATCCAATTTTTTCCAAAGTCAGTCTTTTCTATGCAGATTGAAAAATGTGAGTTTAAGAATTTTCAAGTCACACCATATAACTTAGCAGCACTGTCACGAATTCTTTAAACCGTGGCAGACATTAAGCAATTTGGAATTAGTAGACAGTGAGATACTAGTATAGTCTACATACAAATCTGTAGGACTGTGCCTCAATTTGAGAGCATTTGGGAGTCTAATAAATAGTAGTCTGTAAAAGTTAACCATTTGGTATATATCTTGAAATCAGGCTGTTATATTGCTTCCTCTTACCTACAATTCCAGGAGCGACCAGTCCCAGAACTTGGCATCGTTTTGGCAACAGCTTTTCTAGTGTAATTGCTGTTTCTTTACTATTTCTTTTCCTTGCTGTAACAAAAGAGGAGGAAAAACTAAGGCACAGAAAGGTTAAAGTGATTGGCCACAGGTTACATAGAGCCTCTGTCTGTACTCAAAGACCTCTACCCTAAGCAGCAATAGAATTGACTTTGCATATGGATTAAAACAGTGCCTTACCATCAAACCAATGCAGCTCATTGGCCACCTCATTCAGCACATGACAAATCCTATACAGCTAATGTACACAGAATAGGAAGAACTAAATATCCTGAATAGGATGAGGTAAAAAATGAGTTCTAGTACACCCTGATGTATAATTATTATTAGGACTGTCAAGCGATTAAAAAATTAACCGTGATTAATAGTGCTGTTAAACAATAATAGAATACCATTTATTTAAATATTTTTGGGTGTTTTCTACATTTTCCAATACAGTAACTCTTCACTTAACGTGGTCCCGGTTAACGTTGTTACGTTGCTGTGTGTGTGTGTGTGTGTGTGTGTGTGTGAGAGAGAGAGAGAGAGAAAGAGGGGTGCTAATGTCAGGGTGTCGTCCCCATCCCCCCCGCTCCTTTACCCCATCTCCACAGAGCAGTGGCGGGGACACGACAGGGCTCAGGATGCAGGGAGCTTGCTGGCAGCAGCTGCTGACTCAACTTGCTGATCAACTTAAAAAGGCAATGTACTTAGAGTGGGGTCAGTGTACTTAAAGGGGCAATACGCGTCTCTTTCTCACACACAGGGTGTATGTTTCTGTCTCTCTCTGCCATGCTGTCTCCTCTCCCTCCATTAGTGCTGCCTTGCAGAGTGTGAGGCTACATTAACAATATGTGACCCCTTGAGGGCTCAGCTGAGTGCTAGTTCATCATTTAGCAGTAAGGCATTCCCTGGGAAATATCCCACCCTCTGACTTCACCACCTCAACCAAGCTTCACAATCATCATTGCTGTGAACAGCATTAAAATGTTTGTTTAAAACTTACACACACACACACACACTTAGGCAAAAAAAAATTTCCCTGGAACCTAACCCCCCATTTACATTAATTCTTAAGCAAATGCAATTTCCCTATAACATCGTTTCACTTAAAATAGCATTTTTCAGGAACATAACTACAACATTAAGCGAGGAGTTACTGTATATTGATTTCAATTACACCAGAATACAAAGTGTACAGTGCTCCCTTTATATTTATTCTTTATTACAAATATTTGCACTGTAAAGAACAAAAGAAATAGTATTTTTCAATTCACCTAATACAAATACTGTAGTGCAATCTCTTTATCATGAAAGCTGAACTTATAAATGTAGAATTATGTACAAAAAAATCCCGCATTCAAAACAAAACAATGTAAAACTTTAGAGCCTACAAGTCCACTCAGTCCTACTTCTTTGTTCAGCCAATCACTCAGACGAATAAGTTTGTTTACATTTGCAGAAGATAATGCTGCCTGCTTCTTGTTTACGTCATCTGAAAGTGAGAACAGGCATTTGCATGGCATTATTGTAGCTGGCATCTCAAGATATTTACAAGCCAGATGTGCTAAAGATTCATATGTCCCTTGATGCTTCAACCACCATTCCAGAGGACATGCCTGATAACTATCCAAAGCAGTGCGGACGAACGCCTGTTCATTTTCATCATCTGAGCCAGATGCCACCAGCAGAATGTTGATTTTTTGTTGGTGGTGGTGGTTTGGGTTCTGTAGTTTCCACATCAGAGTGTTGCTCTTTTAAGACTTCTGAAAGCATGCTCCATACCTCGTCCCTCTCAGATTTTGGAAGGCACTTTAGATTCTTAAATCTTGGGTTGAGTGCTGTAGCTACCTTTAGAAATTTCACACACCTGTTCTCACTTTCAGGTGATATTGTAATTGAGTGGACAGCATTATACAAACTTGTTTCTCTTAGTGATTGGCTGAACAAGAAGTAGGACTGAGTGGACTTGCAGGCGCTAAAGTTTTACATTGTTACATAACTGCATTCAAAAAACAAAACAAACAAAAAATTTTTGTCTACATTTGTAAGTTGCACTTTCATGATAAAGAGATTGTACTACAGTACTTATATGAGGTGAATTGAAAAATACTATTTATTTTGTTTTATCATTTTTACAGTGCAAACATTTGTAATCAAAAATAATATAAAGTGAGCACTGTACGCTTCGTATTCTGTGTTATAATTGAAATCAATATACACCTCTACCCCGATATTACGTGACCCGATATAACACAAATTCGGATAGAACGCGGTAAAGCAGTGCTCCAGGGGGGCGGGGCTGCGCACTCCGGTGGATCAAAGCAAGTTCGATATAATGCGGTTTCACCTATAACAAGGTAGGATTTTTTGGCTCCCAAGGACAGCATTATATCGAGATAGAGGTGTATGTGAAAATGTAGAAAAAGATTTAGGTATTCTATTGTTTAACAGTGCAATTAATCGCGATTAACTTTTTTGAGTTAATCACGTGAGTTAACTGCGATTAATCAACAGCCCTAATTATTATATGAATCTATATAGATAGGGCCCTACAAATTCAAGGTCCATTTTGGTAAATTTCACGATCATAGGATTTTAAAAATCTTAAATTTCACAGTTTCAGATATTTAAATCTGAAATTTCATGGTGTTTTAGCCATGGTGGTCCCGACCCAAAAGGGTATTGTGGAGGGCAGTTGCAAGGCTACTGCATTGGGGATGCAATATTGCCACTTCTGCACCGCTTCTGACGGCGGGGGTAACTTCAGAACTGGGCTCCCAACCAGCAGCTGCAGAGCTTCCTGCAGCCAGGGGAGGTTCCCAGAGGTGGGTCTGACCCAGCCCCAAGAGCGGACCGTGCAGGGGAAGAGGAAGTCCCATCCCTCTTCAGTCCAGCTGGACTAGCAGCTGGAGCCCGGCGCAATGCAGGAACGCCTGGCCGGTGCACCCCCAGCCCGGCCCCTCTCCAAGCCCAGCACTTGTGGGTTTAAGGGGCCTTGGTCTGTCTGTCTGTGTGTCTGGGAGGGGAAGGGAAGAGGACAGAGAACCAAAGCGCTCTGGGGGCATTCGCCTGCCCTGACCCCCTGCAAAAAATGACAAACCCCACCCCTCACTATACCATGCTGCCCTCACTTCTGTGCTGATGGTGGCGCTGCCTTCAGAGCTGGGCACCGGGCTAGCAGCTGCTGCTCTCCACTCTCCAGATGCCCAGCTCTGAAGGCAGCACAGAAGTAAGGGTGGCAATTCTGTGACCCTCCTACAATTCCGTATTTCATGGTCCACAACATGTTTTTTCATGGCTGTGAATTTGGTAGGGCCCTATATATAGAATCACCTACATTTACATGGATCACCTCTCTTGACGCAAACACAAGGTGACAATGCCCTCTTGACAATATCACATTACCTGATTGTTTTTCTTTAAGCATCCCACTCCATTACAGTTGTACATGACAAGGTTCTCTTAAAGTATAGATAGGATTTATACATACCCCTCTTTTGTCTGTGACACTCTTCATATCCAATGAAAGTCTCTGCATCTGCTATGTAAAGTACTATTTGTGGCAGCACATGCACATTCTGTAAAGTACAAAAAGATAAATGGAAACACAGTATAAGAAAAGCAGACTCTGCTACCTAACTGCAGGCTGCCATACCTTTGTCCCACAAAGAAAACCAAAATGAACTAGAGGCAAGAGAGGGAGATTCCTGGAAGTCAGTGATAGGAAAGATCTGGCTATGACAAGCATGGGTACATCTCTAGTGCCTTTTATCAAAGAACCTCAGTGCACTTTACTGACATTAATTCTCATAACTGGCCAAACAGCTGTCAGATGGTAACAACTTTGTCACTACTGATATAGCCCACATTTGTGGCCCTAAAGGCAGAGCACTCCATGTTCAGTTGTAAATCACTAGAGACATCCAGTTACCACTTCAAGAGCTGATTTTTTTATTTATATATATATAAAAACAATAAATCTGTCCAACTGTAGTGATTTGCACACTTGTGTTTCTAGAGAAATATTCTATTTAAATATTCATTGATGTTTGGAACTAGAAATACTTTACTCTTTGATATTCGGTGGTCCAACTTCTCTAAAGTTTGTATCAGTAGCAGAGAACGTCATCTGCTTCAGCTTCGCTCATTTTAAAGTGCTATAAACCATGCATTGATCATTCTCCAGTGTATATTTAAGTAAGGAGTTAGAACTTTTAAAATTTTTTAGATGAAAAATGAGGGCTTATATTCTCCAGAATGCTGAAAAAAATGGGACCCCAGACTTGTCACAGATAACTTACTACCTGCCACTGTTTCCAAGTCGGTACTGCTGTCTGCCTGGTTAGACACAGTTGCTCAAATTAAGGATCAGTATCCACATAAGAATATATTTTAAAATGAACTTTCCTTACCATTTTATCACGATCACCTTAAACTCAAATGAAAATTTACAATCCAGTTTAAAAACTGGAATCCTGCCTATTACAGCCTGGCCCAGTCCCACTCTCTGAACAGACACCAGTCTGGAATGAGTGGACCTAACCCACTGGATCCAATGTGTGTCTAACCCCCTTGGGTCTCAGCAGTGACCAGTCAGTGTTTGTAGCTGTGCGTCTCTCAGGCACACTCCCAAGCGCAGACCCCATGTCTGGCACTCTTCCTGGGTAGTGGGGCCCTGCAATCCAGCTGCCTGGACTTGGGAATCAATGCCACAGCCTTCCTGAACTCCCAATTGCTTAGACATGTTACCTGGCTTGGGAGCTCTGGCTGCTAGCTAAACTCTTCTGGGACAAAGTGGCAGAGAAGCAAAGAACACAGGCTTAGCAAAGGAACTTCTTAACTACAGACATTTTTCTCTTTAAAAGCATTAGCGAGTTAAAGAGAACACAAAAACAAACAAAATCCTGACCACAGTCCCCCCCGCTCCAAGTCTGATCTCTCCCCTTCTGAGTGTCTTGGCTTTGGACAGTGTCCTTAGGCTTGGCAGCCCTTCCTGCCCTCTTTAGTTTGGTCTTTTTACCTGTGCCAGTGGACTGGCCCCCTTGCTTAGAGAAGCACCCCTCTTTTAAAAGTCTCTGCTTCCTTTGTTTCACGTGCTTCAGCTGGTGCAGTCCTTCCTCCCCCCAAATTCAAAGTCAATGGTCCTACCAATAGAACCCCGCCATCGTTTCAGCAGGGAAGAGTCATTCAATGTTGATTGCCCCTGATTGCTGTCACAGCTTTCCCCACTCCCACGGATGCTCTAATCCGCACAAGAACTTGCAAGACAACATTAAGGTAACACTTCAAAATGAAGGTTACAATACAAAGCAGAGCTCCTGAAATACAATGGGGATCACAAAACAAAATGGGGTTCTCTGACTTCAGTGGGTAAAGGGGTCAAGACCAGAAAAAATTAATCAAAATATGTCTCATTTGTATGACCAAACCAAGCTTTATAATGTCTTTTTAGTGAAAGAGTCAGACAAATCATGAAACTGCATAATGTGATGCTTAAGGCCAAATGGCTGAACATTCCGTAACCATAAAACAGCTGTATAAGGACATAAGAACATGAGAGCAGTCATACTGGGTCAGACCAAAGGTCCATCTAGCCCAGTATCCTGTCTTCCAACAGTGGCCAATGCCAAGTGCCCCAGAGGGAATTAACAGAATAGGTAATCAAGTGGGTGACAGAGGATGGATCACTTAATGATTACCTGTTCTGTTCATTCCCTCTGGGGCACTTGGCATTGGCCACTGTCGGAAAACAGGATACTGGGCTAGATGGACCTTTGGTCTGATGCAGTGTGGCCGCTCTTACGTTCTTATGTCCTTATACAGCTGTGTATAGATATGAATTGAAACTTAAAATGTGCACTACAACATCAGTATGGAAGAACTGACTTTAGAAAAATGTATCACCACAGACTCACAAGCGTGCACGTGGATTATACCACAGTAGTTAGAAATTCAATTGGAATGGCCAATGTATGCAGTTAACAGTGGTATTTTACCTACCTCAAGTTCTTCGGCTAATGCACGGACCAGTGAATGACTATCAGATGGACCAGGCTCAAGTGCAGAGACCCACGCAATGCTCTGCTGTGTTCTCAGTAATCTACGGGCACATTCTCTCCATAACCGGCAAACACTAAAATACAAAAATTTACTACAATATACAAAAAGGAATTTTAGCAGCTGTCAACCTTTTTTTTTTTTAATTTTTGACTTAGAAGTATCTATCCCACATTCTTATGAGAAACTCTTGCACTTAAAAAAAAAAAAAAGATCAAATTTAAATCACAAAGTGTAAATTGTTGATTGTTCTTTAATAGATGTTAGTAGAAAACCAAACTGAATGCATTATTTGCATGGGTATTGTTTTAAGATTTGTTTCTGAATTTCAAAAAATGCCAGCAATTTTGATAATGAATTGCCTTGTTCAGTACCAGTCACAATAAATTACCAAATAATGTGTCTGGGGTAGCTGGTCAAAAGAGCATATTGAACAATTCATTCCCAGCTCCTCTCTACAGCACAAATATATAAATCAGCAAAACAAAATGCTGTCAAAGTACAGAGAAGGTAACCTTGTTTTCTGCTGAAAGTGTCTAGGGACGACATACTCCTTGTACACTTGAAAAAAAGTCTTTTTTCTTGTGTTATCAGATTTGTTCACTAAGTTTATTCTTCTGACTCCTAATGATGGAGTTCAGTGGCAACAGAACTCAATGTATATAAAGAACATAGTGATGTGCCATTTTAAGTTTCTCTCCAAAAATAAACAATGTTAATTTGAGACATTCAAAACAAAACAAGGCCTCGCAATTCATTTAACATAATCAATTTGTTTTAAAAACAAACTCGTCAAGCAACTACAAAACTCCTCCTTACAGAGTGCGTGTGTCTGACAGTTACAGCTCTACTAACCATAACAGCACAGCGCTGCTAGGGCTCCTTCGAGCCGAAGAGCTCAAAATACTTTGTTAACATTTACAAACGTGGCAAGCACTATCACGAGCTTCACCCAAAGCTGGGCGGCTGCGTGAGACAGCAACAGAGAACTAGATAAGCAACAACCCCGGAGTGGCAGCACCGCGGACTCCGTCGCAGCTTGGCTGAAGTAAAGAGCGCGGTTTTTAAGCCATTCTGAGAGCGGGGCTGACTTCAAGAGAAGCTGGGAAACGCGGGCTGTTCCCGCAATGCATCCCCGCCCACCTCCCTGCAGAAGCAGCGAGGCCTGATCAGCCCGGAGCAGGGCCGAGTCCAGCCCTTGCTTCCTCTTACACATTGTTCTCGGGACTTGGAGCCTGTGCGTTGGCTTCACGTCACCCCGGCCACGGGCCCAGCCGTTCCCCCGCCGGCGCGGGGAGTGACTCGCTCGCGTCACAGGCCCGGGCACGCGCTCCTCGGAGCGTGCTCTTGGATCCCAAACTGTCCTCGGGCTCCGCCCTACGCACGGGGCGGGGAACAATCGGGGGCCCGGTTCCGGGGGCGGGCGAGGGCCCAGGCAGGAGATCGGGGCACAGCCAGCTCCCAGGGCGACACCGGGGCTGTCTGAGGGAAGGAGCTGGGACGCGAGGGTTCAGCCCGCGAGGGCAAACGCCAACTCCCCCGGTGCGGATCGAGGGGACGCCCGAGGCCGGTCCTCACCAGGCCGCCCGCAGCAATGCCTTGGTGGGCAGGAAGCTCAGGATCCGCTCCACCACCTCAGCCAGGTTACTCAGCACGTAGGCCCCTTTGCCGTCCGACTCCATGGCAACGGCCACCCACGCCTCTGCTCCCAGCGCCTGCCTCGCGCACCAAGAAGCGGGCTAGGAGCCGGAAGCTCCTGGCCGCGGCGCATTCCGATTGCGTCATCCGCACAGACCCCCCCCACTTCCGGTCTCCGCCTCCAGAGCACGTGACCAGCCACAAAGCGCTTCCCTGGTGTGGGAATGGTGCGTGTGCCGACGCGGGCGGCTAATGTTGCGAAGTGACCACGTGACATTACGACACACGCTGTAGCCGTGACTTCCAGGTCTTGGCGATGGGGGCTGGGGCATATGTGACTGATCCAGCCCGGAGAGCCGTGGGTTCGGTTCCCTGCTCAGCTATGGCCTTCATGTCTGACCTTGGGCAAGTCTCTTAGCATCGCCGTGACTCCTGTCCAGTTGTACTCTGGGGACAGCAGCAGGGCCCAGCCCCACAGGGGCTGAGGACAAATACCTTAAGGTTGTGGTGTGGTTTGTTGTTAACGCTCCCAGGGACGGGGTAGGGAGAGACAGTTATGCCTCTGCCTGCGCCTGGGGAGTGGGGCTGGGTGGAGGCAGTTTTAGAATTAGAGAGTACTGGGGAGGGGGTGTGGCAGCCTAAGCCCCAGCCCACAAGAGGCAAACAGGCTTTAGGAGCGTGCAGTGCCTCATGCCTAGATGCCCTCCCTTTCATCCTGTCCAAGCATTGCACTGCAGGTGAAGAATGTACTGCACTAGGAAAGGGGAATCTATCAGCTATGGGTCAGACCACTGGCATAACAAGAGTCCAGCCTAAAAGCTGCATTAACTGGGCCTGGAACAAGTGGATTGATGTGAGAAAGTAAAAGCTACACATTCTCCTCTGCTCCTCAAAAAAACCTACCACACCTTCCTGCCTCAAGGTGTTTGTTCCAGGCTCAGTTACATATATAAGTGAGTGATTTTAAGGCACAGGCTGTAGCCGGATTAGAGTTGATCAACTGCCCTTCTCAACCTAAGTGAATAAGAAAAACGGACACAAACCTCCAGCAGCACATCTTAAGGTAAAATTCTCCCCACCCCACACAACATTTTACTTTATAGAGAAGTAACTGTTAAGCCAACTGCACAGTTCTCTGGCAGGAAAGGGGGGGGGGGGGGGGGAGAGAAATGGAAAAAATTTAAAACCACATACAAAAAAAGCAGGTAAAGGAGATTTGGGCAGCTGTAGTACCAAACACTGCTTTTTAAGTGTCCTTTAAGAAACCTGAAGAAGCTCTGTTTAGCTCAAAAGCTTGTCTATCTCTTCCACCAACAAAAGATGTTTCAAGATCTCACACACCTTTTCTCTCTCATATCCTAGGACTAACAACTACAACACTAAACAACTTTCAGAAATGGTCAGCAGTTTCTATGTTAATGTCCCTTTAATGCAGGAGATTTCTATATGGAGAATAAGACTTGAAAGTTACTTTAGTGTCACCTATATTGAAGGTGACATTTCCTCTACCCACATGCAGCTCAAACTGCTGAAGATAGAACCATTTTTGTCCTAGACTCCCATATGACATTGCCACTGTAAGTTAAAGTAGAGTTGAGGTGCACTGTAATGCATTTTTAATTCTTTAGGTTTAGAAAGATTTTCCATTTTTGCAAGGTAAATGGGGATCAAACTGTCATATGCTCTTACTGCAAAACAATTATTTTGTTTCCTGTTTCTGATTTAGATTGTGAACTCAAGGCTGGGATTTGTTTTAGTTGTTTGACAAAGGGCAATTGTGGGGTAGCCCAGCATTCAGTGCTGTCTGCTTCTATTTACCAAATGAGGCAGGTTTGGCTACATGGCTAATGATTTTCAACTCTGTCTGATTGTGATTGTGTAGGCTTTTGGCTTTCCTAGCATTCACTCAAGATTAGAGAGGATTAGATGAGGGCTGGTATTGGAGGCTTGATTCCAAGAAAGTTAAGGTGTTTGGATGAGGAGGAAGATATTCAGAGAAGTGGAAGATTGAATCTGATTGCTTTCCTCCCATTTGCTCACTTGTTGGTTAACAAGACATGCAGTTTGAAGGTCCCATTGACCTTAGAGGATAAAGTAGCAGCAGTGAATGAGTATTTCTCCTCTGTGGCTGTGCAAGTCCATTTCCCCCTTTCCCCCCGTGGGCCTTACTACCAGTGATCCATGTGATTTTTATACCTTAGATTATAGTGTACTTTATGGGGCCATACCTGAAGTCAACTTAGGAACTTCATCTAGTGCAGAATGCATTGGTCTACATACTTAGTGGTGCTTTTCATACAAGCATTTTACACTTGTGCTCATGAACCTGAAATCCAAAGAGGTTTTGACTTGTTGACCAGTTTTTCCTTTTATACATTGCATTGGTTGGGAACACACACATGTTCATGAACAGAAAGCTATCTATATTCAAAGACTAACCACAAACAGAATAATTCTTAAAATGGTTCTTTATTCATAAACTTGATGCAAGTTTACAAATTACTGTACATTGCCAAATAATTCTGCAATGAAAAATGAAATCCAAAACAAAGCATGCCAAATGTGCATCTGTCAACCTGCTAGCCCATTAGAATATTAAAGAATTCAATAATGTATTCAAAGATTTTAGCCTCAGGTTTTAAGGAACTTTAATGCTTAAAGAGTTCTGCCTTTCACTTAAGGTTGCTATCTGAGCAATTGGCTATCAGGATTGTATGCGAATATATGTACAACCAAGTAAGCAGAAAGGCTGGCAAGTCATCCACTATACTCCCTAGAAGACTATTTGAAACAAAATAGTACGTATCAGGAGTAGTGCCAAATTCCTTCAATCTGTTCTTTCAAGCTAAAAACTGGATCTAGAAGCAAATGCACAAGGGCCCATGGGTGCCTGATAGAGAAAAGAAAAGCACAAATTTGATAGTTGTAACTAAAAAAACCAAACAAACAAAAAAAACCCACATGCTTCTGGGCTAAAAAAGTGCTTAATCCATGGTACACACCCTTATATCAATCCCTGGCAGTACAAAGGTCTAATCACTAATACTACAACCAAAATAGAATTGATTTAGGTAAGGCAATGAAATATAGTAATTACACAGACCCAGATTCATTTCCTAATAATGAAAGAATAGTTCCTGTTAGTCTTTCAATAACAAAAAGCACTGTCATGACTATGGCAACATTATTTTTACAACTCAATCAGGTGATGTCTTTTTTGTATTTTATTGTAGCTTTTATATAAAAACTTTTGTTCAAGGATTTTCATTTTGATTTGTGCCAATCACTTTATAAGTTCATTAGTTTACAAATGATTGCAACAACCCGTTAATAAAATGGAACACCTAAAAAGATTTTTAGTATCTTAAATAACTTCAAGCTTCATACTGTGGCTCCTTTTGTTAAGTAGCAGAAACAGCCCAGCAAGATTCTGATGCCCCAGTGGAAGTGACTAGTTACAAGGTTTTATTGGCACAGCCTTGCTCTGCTTAAAAATACAACAATCTCTTCCAAGAAACAGTTCATATCCTCACACAGCCATGAAAAAAGTTTAATGACTTAACATACATGTCGTTTTCCTATATTTTTAATTTGGCAATACTACAAATGTTTTCATTTTAGACCAGAAAAACTACTGTGATATACAAGACCTGAAATTTCCTAAAACAGTATTAAACAATGTATTAAACTTTGTTGGCTTTAAATGAAACATTACAATGCAAGTCTCTGCAGTCCACATTCTGCAAAAGGTAAGAAGTAGTGAGTGACTCCTATTGAATGATCTTTTAGTAACTCAATAGCCAGCTTTAAAAAGTTTGCACTTTTAAACAAAAATGGAGAAGGAAGGGAGTGGCCCAAATATGCTTAATCCATAGGGACAAATACAGTAAAGGCCAAAACTGCTCAGTCCAAGATACCTAATAAGAGCAAAATGGTAAGGCTGTAAATTATACTGGATGTGTCAGTTGACAGATTATCCACTAACTTATCTAATAGCTAAAGTCTTCAGTACGGCTGTTCTAGGGGCACTCGTAGCTTGAGTCTGTGTGTGTGTGTTGGAAAGAAATAAAAAAGAGCTGTTTGACATTGGTCCAGGTGTACAACAGTCCACAATATTAACCATCTTCTTTTGGAGGAGTGTACCAGCCTATAGAAGAACAAAGAAACACATTAGGCACTCTTAACTTTAGTGCGAGACAGCTTTAGGCTCTATTTTGATGTATAATTAAAATTTAAATTGTATTTGAAAACTAGACCAATCCACCACAGACCCTAAACTCCTATTGATTTCAGTGGGAGTTAAAGCACTCATCACCTTGCAAGATCAGACACAGTATTTATATTTGAAAATAAAGCATTAATATTGAGCTCCTGTTAGCAGCAGCCATCCTGCTGAATTAGACAAATCTTAAGACACCAATATAGACCGCAAAGAGTAATTTGATCTAGTTTCCATCTGCTTTAGTTAAGACAAAGGCCCAGATTCTGGGATGTATTAGCAGGTATGTTGTAAGCAAGATATGAAAAGTAATTCTTCCACTCTACTCAGCACTTACAAGGCCTCAAAACTGGAGTATTGTGACCAGTTCTGGGCATCACACTTCAGAAAAGATGGACAAGTTGGAGAAAGTCCAAAGGAGAGCAACAAAAATGATTAAAGATCTAGAAACATGACTATGAGGAAAGATTGAAAAACTGGGTTTTAGTCTGGAGAAGAGACATGATAACAGTCTTCAAGTATGTAAAAGATTGTTATAAAGAGGAGGGTGATAAATTGTTCTCTTTAACCACTGGAGACAGGACAAGAAGTAATGGGCTTAAAATTGCAGCAATGGAAATTTAGGTTAGACATTAGGAAAACCTTCCCAATTGTAAGGGTAGTTAAGCACAGGAATAAGTTACCTAGGGAAGGCTGTGGAATCTCTGTCATTGGAGGTTATTAAGAACAGGTTTAGACAAACGGCTGTCAGGGATGGTCTAGATAATACTTAGTCCTGCCTCAGTGCAGGGGACTGGACTAGATGATCTATTGAGGTCCCTTCCTGTCCTACATTTCTATGATTTTCAATCCTGCAAGCCTTGCATACAGTCATTTGTTTGATTATATTGGTACACCTCTACCCAGATATAACGCTGTCCTCGGGAGCCAAAAAATCGTACGTGTTATAGGTGAAACCGCGTTATATTGAACTTGCTTTGATCCGCCGGAGTGCGCAGGCCACCTCCCCTCCCCATCCCCAACCCCCCCCCGGAGCACTGTTTTATCGCATTATTTCCGAATTCGTGTTATATCGGGGTAGAGGTGTATATGCATATGAATATCCTATTTTGCAAGTACATGCTGAACTTTTGCACAAGTGTTTGAAAATATAGACCAAGATGTTCCTGGTGTTACAAGTCTGTTTCATCCCGCTGAGGACGGAATGGGAATGATGAACTGTAACAGCAAGTTCAGAAATGCCAACTAAGCAATTTACCTTTCAATATATATTTCAGTTGCTACATACCCAGAATAACTTCTGATCATGTGACGGTTCAGTCTGTGAGACCAAAGTGTGCACTTTTTTTTTTAAATGGACACTGCTAAAATCAAAAGTATCTATTTAATTCTACCCACCACGCTAGCAAAAGTTTTAAGAGATCTGCCTCAAATTTTGTATGATTAGTACAGTGCCTACTTAAGCTGTTCCTGAGGACCTATAGTAGCCATAAGTTAACAAAGAAGCCTTTAAACATCTTTAATACTGTGAATGCTTTGTATGTTGGTAATCACTGTAGTGTATAGGTTGAACTAAAACAGAGAGCCATATTGACTTTTTTAGAATAAAAACAACCAAAAAGCTCAAGTAATAGCAGCTAATCATAACATTTCAAAGTGCTTTAGAATCAACTATTTCCAATACACATCTCTTCCTCTGATGCAGAAGACGTGCTTATTGTACAGATGTGCACCTCAGTTTCCCTGAAAAACATATTCAAGGTCCAACTGAGACAGAGCTCTCCTGTCTCCCAGTACCACGTTTTAACCACTGGATCACACCCTGTCCCTAGATGAAGATTCTTTGATAAATAAGTCAGCAAAGCAAGACAGTATAAATAATAGATACAGTAATCCCTCACTTAAAGTCGTCCCGCTTAACATTGTTTCGTTGTTACGTTGCTGATCAATTAGGGAACATACTCATTTAAAGTTGTGCAATGCTCCACTCTTACGTTGTTTGGCTGCCTGCTTTCTCCACAGCTGGCAGCCTCCCTGCACCCCCGCCTCCTGCCCACGACAATCAGCTGGCTTGCGGCGTTTTGGAGGGAGGGGGGAGGCGCGAGGACTCAGCGCACAGGCCCTCCTGCCTCCCGAACGCGGCAAGCCAGCTGATTGCCCCAGGCAGGAGGTGGAGAGAGGAGCGAGGACTCGGTGCACCTCCCCCCTCCCTCCCAAATGCGGCAATCAGTTGGCTTGCAGCATTTAGAAGGGAGGGAGGAGGAGCCAGGACGCAGCATGCGAAGTAAAGGGAGAGGAGGTGGGGGGGAGAAGAGGCGGGTCAAGGGTGGGGGCATGGGGGAAGGGGTGGAGTGGGTGGGCTGAGGGTTGAGCCCCCCCGCCCCTGGTACTTGCAGAGTAGGGAAAACTGCCCTGGAACCTAACCCCCCCCCCCCCATTTACATTAATTCTTATGGGGAAATTGGATTCACTTAACATCATTTCACTTAAAGTCGCATTTTTCAGGAACATAACTACAACATTAAGTGAGGAGTTACTGTACTTCTCTTTGTAAGAGCCTTGTCAACTTTAAAAGTAGTTGACAAGTCTAGGTGAATTGTCTAGTTGCAAAACAATGCCAAATCATGATGTGGGATATTAGATCAGTTATCTACTCCCAGGTGGCTCACTCAAGCTGGAAAGTAGTAATACTAATTTCTAGAGGGAGCCATGTCCACCTTACCACACAAGTAGTGAACAGCAGCACCAGCTGGTGGCAACTGGTTTTGTATGGGGGAAAAGCATACCTCCCCGCCTTCAGAGCCAGGGTCTACAAGGCCTCAAAACTGGAGTATTGTGACCAGTTCTGGGCATCACACTTCAGAAAAGATGGACAAGTTGGAGAAAGTCCAAAGTTTTTACATTAGTTGTCCCCCGTAATCATTTGGGTTTTAGGTCCTGTGGGTCCTCCCCTTAGGCTGGGGGGGGGGGGGTCCTTTAGCAGTGGGCGGGCTTTGCCCGCCCACTTCCCAGAACCCAATAGGTTCAGAGCCAGACTGAACAGTTTTCAGGCTACACGTTTTAATTTGTATTTTCTATGTATTTTCAACCTTTGATCCTCCCTTCTACTTCATTCTCTCATTGATTATTGCTTTCACTTGTCTTGCGCTATATTTAGATAAGCTCTTTGGAGAACAGAAGAGTCTATTTGCTAGAGAAGCATCTAAACATTTCAGGCATAACAAAAAAAAATTCTGGATAATCAGGGTGGAAACAAAATGCAAAATAGGCCCTTCAATGCATGGGAAGAGATATAGGCCATTCTTGCTTTATCACAAATAAACCAGGTAAAAGTTTGTATTGTATGGCAATTATATTAGTTTCAAGCATTACTATCTTTTCCATGCCACTGTACAATTTGTACAGACAAGAACATACAAAATTGCACAATGTAAATATTTACATACCATTTTTCTCATGTATTTGTACTAGAGACTTATAGGACTGCTGTGCTCTTGCTAGATTATATTGGTTCTGAAAGAAAAATAAGTCATTTAATACTACCATCAAGAAGTGACACCAAGTCACTTAAGCAAAATACCATAAAGTAACTGTTTGAAAAGTTAGAGAGTACTGTAAGTAGAACAAAAAAAAAAAAAAAAGTCTATTAAGAGGTGCCATACAAGAAAACCAACTACAGTCTTAACCTGCAAAATCCATGGCCTCGGGGACTGAAGAGTTGGCTCTCATCATACTAAAAAGCCATGTACAGTGGCTGTGTGATGGGACTTGCTAACTGATAAAATACAGGGCTTCAGGTTTCAAAGTGCATTGCATTAAAGTGCTGTTCTTGCACCTAGCATATTTCACGACCCCCTAAAAAAAGACTATCTTAAGACATTGCATTCTGAATCATGTACAAGTTAAAAAATATTTTTCCATAGTGCTAATACAGGCAAATATTAGGACAGTAATGGTATGGCTACACTGCAATAAAAACACCTCTGGCTGGCCTGTGTCAGCTGACTTGCGCATGAGGGGCTCAGGCTGCAGGGCTATAAAATTGCAGTGTAGACCTCTGGGCTCAGGCTAGAGCCTGGACTCTGGGACCCTGAAAGGGGGAAGGACCCCAGAGCCTGGGTTCCAGCCTGAGCCTAGACATCTACTCTGCAATTTTAAAGTCCTGCAGCTGGGGTCCCAGACAGCTGGCAAAGGCCAGCCACAGGTGTTTTATTGCAGTGTAGACCTAACATTTCATAGATGAATGACTTTTAGGGTAAGGGATATTCCAGGTGGATAGATTTCAAAAGTCAACCTACCTAACATATGTTTAAAAAGATTCTTACTGTCAAACTAAATTAGCCATCTTCCACACAAAGCTTGTAATATTAAATACCTGGCTCTCAGGGTAAGAAATTATTTTTAAAAAAGTGGAGCAGGCAGAAGTGCAAATGGCACAGTTTGCATGCACCCAATATCAGAAATGCCTCCAAAATTTGCAGGCTCACAAATTTGAGATGGTTCACAAATCTGTGCTACAGTTTGGAGCTGTGAGGCCTAAATAACCTGCAGACCCTAGAACTCCACTTGACCATAGCAATGCACATCTGATCAGTGTTAAATTAGAAAGACATGATGGAAATTAAATGTAGGTTGATAAGAACAGCAAAACTGCTTAACTTTTAACAGTCAATGGACTGGACCAATAGGACAGCGGTCTCCTACCAAAGGGCAAGTAGAAGCAATGGGTAAAATGCATTTTAAGGGTGCCTAAGTGATCTAATTCATTCATAACTTAAGCCCTTACGAAAGGTCCATGGGACTTAGAATTAAGTGCCTAAACCACCTTGAAAGTGGGACCTGGGTAAACATTTTTAAGAATACCTAACAACATGGTTTGTCTCTTGTTTTATGGTGAATTACTAGTCTGTTTCTATGCATACATTATTAAAACACAGAACAGGTGTCCCCTTAATAGTGGTAAGATCAGACAACTTTTAGAGTCACATACAAAGATCTAGGATAGTTATTTCATTAATTTTTCATCCTTTATTAAAATATTATTTAGTGTTTACCAAAAAGCTTTCTTCAGATACTTTTTCTCAACTACCAAGAGAAGGCAAAAAGTTGTTTAAAGTTAGTTTGGATACAACCACCTCCCTGTACCAGAGTGACATGCTCCAGAATCCTGCATAGGGATGCAGGGCTCCTCACTCATCCTGGCATGAAAATACAGGATGGATTCAGTTAGCACCAATCAGAAGGGTTAGAGCCTGTCCTCAGGAGCAGAGAACTAGGGACAGAGTGACAGACCACTGGCAGGGAAAGCCTTAAGAAGAGTCAATCTTGGGAGAAAGTTCAGGCTGAAGTTTATGTTGCATTAAATTACTAATAGAAGCCAGAAAGAGGACAGTAGGAGCTTCACCTGCTTCTTTGACCCTTCCATGTAAAAAAAATATTTGTCTCTGGCCCACACACACATTGTTTCCTAACAAACCCATATCGTTCATTTCCAGCAAACTAGCCACTAATACACCAATATGTTTCAGCACACAAAAAGTGAATCAAAAGTTTATATGGACCTTAATTTAATCTTTAAACCAACAGCTGTTTTATATTTGAGCTTTCTATAAGAGTCAACATAAAATGGAAAATAAAACAAGTATCTACCCACAACACAAAAGTCACTTCAATAATTATACATAATATATTTACCTTATTGGCTCCAAACTGTACTCTGGCTTTTCCTTTGACTAAAGTGGCATTGATCTGCATGATGACCGATTCTATTGAATAGGCACTACTCCAGCCCTAAAGGAAGAAGGAAATACTTCTACAGAATATGTGCTTGTATTCTTACGCTCACCTTGCAAATCCACTCTGGAAAGTATGTTTCTTTTTGCTAAACTCTAGCAAACCATGGTATTTTTGGTTAATAGCTTTTAAAAACTATAAAACAATTAGTTATTCCCAAGAGAAACACAAGAAACTAAAGTAAACTATGTTAGCATAAAGAGCTTGTAGGAAAAAGGAAAAAGCCAAGTTGCACACATTTCCAGAATCTGGTAAGACAAAAAACAAAGAAAAACACAACTACATTATAGAATTCTACTAATTTTCAGCTAGCTTTACAATAGCAATTACAGCTTTAAAAGACTGCTTTTAATGACTCAATTAAGCAATTAAGTGAGCAAAAAGATCCTGTTTCCACACAGCTGGGCAGCCTCTCTGGCACTGTTTTACCTTTCCAGGGTTCACACAAGTCTCTACTAGACTTTTACAGGAGCTATATTTGTAGGGGAGATGCTGTCCACTGCAATCTTCTTTCCATAGGCAGCAGCTATCTACTCCTAAATTAAAGCTGCTTGAAGCAGCATTCACCGAAGCTCAGCACCTGCACCCCCATATCGGATTTTGTGGGGCAGCTGCTAGGGTAGAAGGTGGGGGGGGGGAGGTTTCAAAGGAGCAGGACAAAGTGATCTCGCCTTTTACTGGACCTGGGGTTCCCTCTCTCACAGACTCCAGGAATCCACCAAGTTTGGGATGGGGAGAAAGAACAGCACTTCCTGTTTCCTCTCCCTCCCCAGTCCCTCCAGGATGAAGAGGAAGATCTGATGCAAGTTCAGTAAGGTGACCCTTACAGAGCTCAAGCTTCCTGGACCTTGTTCCCCTACGGCAAGCATTTCCACAGGAGTGTATGATTTGGCCCTTTGATCCTAACAGGCGGTGGTGTTTAAGCTCACATACAAAAACACCTTCTTATTACTATTCTTAAGAAATATTATTTGTTCTAGTCAGGATGCTAACTGCTATTACAATCACTTTTTTTTTTCCAACTAAGCATTGCACCCTTCCGCCATTACTCTTGACAATTAAAAAAAAACCAAACAAACACACAAAGAAAATACAAAAGATTTTGATTTTATATTCACCTGTTTAGTAAGAAGTTCCATGCATAATGCACCCCCACCCAGGACATACCTAAAAATAAATGTTAGATTAGAAATTTTGAATTCAACATGGCTTTTATTTGGCATCTTTCAAGACCAGTTAGTAAAGAGATTACTATGCAGTCATACCCTCAGGCTGTTATGAGTTAGTCTGTCACACTGTTTGCTCAGCTATAAAAAATTAGACAGCACTTTCAAGGGCAATATATTGCAGTATGTTAGCTATATACATTTATTTATATAGAGCAGAATGATGTCTAGAGACGAGGGAAACTAATTTGCTTTGTCCAACCACAAGGAAAGTCTTAGTGAGAATCAGTGACTCAGCTAGTCTGGACAGTTTACACAGTCAGAATTGAAAAATGTGGTAGAGGGATGCTATTTTTGATGGCTCTATTGTAGACATAGTACAAATGGATAGTTTTTTAGAGTTACTTCCAAAAAGGAATTTAACACAATTCCAGCAACTTTACAAATATGTGCAATGGCCTCCTCTTCACAGAAGAGACAGGCTAGAGGGGCATTCATTATTTAATCTTAAAACTCACCTTCTCAAGCATTTTGTCACTTCTAAACCAAATAACTCCCCAGCATGCACTATACATACTGCGAAGTCACTCTGAATGAACATCAGCAATTCACAACATGCCAGGGCAACACAGGGAATGGGATGGAGTAACGGGAGTTTTAAGCCCACAAAGTGCAGAATGTTCTCCTTCATCTGGACTATCAGGAGCATGCTGGACACATTTCCGAAGCTGGAATTGTGTTACATTCCTCTGCGATAGTCATGAAAAATCTAGACCTTTAGAGCTATTAACCTTTTCTTTACCAGCAATTTTGCACAAGGAAGAATCAGTTTAAGGAAGAGAGTGCGCTTCTAAATGGGTAATGAATGCACTGTTTTCATATTACTTTTTATATATTTATTTGTGTGACAGCAGCAGTCATGTCTACAATTCGAAATTACTATTTCTCGAATTAAGGTTGACAATAGGCTACGGCAGAGTCAGAATCAGTACCAGTTTTCACTAAATTCAGAATTTTTTTTAAATAAGAACTGTCACTTACCTTCCTACAACTCTGATGCCGAATTCCATCCCGTCCCAATAAATATCTATAAGCTTCCCCAACACCGCCCAGCCAACGTACTTCAGTAATACTCTAAAGGAATCACCCTTAGGAGTAAGAAGCTCATCGTCATCAAGTTTAATGCTTCTGGGCTATGTTTGCACTAACTTTTCCCCTAAAACTCCCCACTGTTACAGAGATGCAGCTCCACCAGTGTGAAAGCCAGTACAGACTGGCCAGCAGCGTTATAACCACGTCATCTGCTCTGAGCAGAGCAGGATTAAATCACATGGAGGTAACGACACTGGCAGTTATCCTTACTGTTACACCTATCATTGCTACTGCCAACGTCAATAGCAGGAAGTTCTAGGGAAAAGAATTAGTGTACACACACACTTTGCAACTTCACAATGGACTAAACCAACACATTTCATATAGGCAGCTAGCTGGAAGCTACTTTAGCTCACTGGTTTGAATTAGCAGTGATTGAGAAGCAAATCTCGGTGTCTGTCTGTCTCTCATTTCCTGAGCGTTGTCATAGTCTCCTATCCGACAGCAGTTCACCAATATACATTGTGGGGTCTTGCCTTAAAATCCGGTTGTAGTTCCCAGAAATCAAGGGTGTCTTCAGCATAGTTTCTACTACAAAACCTTTTTATACAAGTCAGAGTTTAAAAAAAAAAAAAAAAAAAAAAACTTACCCTCCCGTGAGCACAGGAGATACCACTCGCACAAAGGGTGGATCAAAAGGAAAATTATCCTGAAAAGCACAACAAAGTATAGAGTTAAAAGCTATGCTGCAACACTGATTTCCAGTAAGAAAAGGATATTTCAATTTATTCTTTGGGAAATGCATAGTTTATAAAGTTTGAAAAGTTAAATCTTCATCTTGCATTCATGTAGAAGTTTACATTACTTCTAGCAGAACATCAGCCTTGGAATGTGACAGTACAGTAATATATTAAAAATCGTATCTGTTTTTGAAAGCTATACCATCATCCTTCAAACAGAGCAGCGGTTCTCAAACTGTGGGTCAGGACCCCAAAGTGGGTCGCCACCCCCTTTGAATGGGGTCGTCATGGCTGGCTTAGATTTGCTGAGGCCTGGGACCGAAGCCCGAGCCCCACTGCCCAGGGCCGAAGCCAAAGCCCAAGGGCTTCAGCCCTGGGCGGCAGGGCTCAGGTTGCAGGCCTGCTGCCTGGGGCTGAAGCCCTTGAGCTTCAGCTTTGGCCCCCCCATGCCCAGGGCAGTGGGCTTGGGCCCCCCAACCCGGGGCAGTGGGGCTTGGGCAGGCTCAGACTTCAGTCCCCTCTTCTGGGGTTGTGAAGTAATTTTTGTTGTCAGAAGGGGGTCGCAGTGCAATGAAGTTTGAGAACCCCGAAATAGAGCACATGGCCTACTACCATTTAAAATGATTTCTACATCCAGATAGTAAAAATTTCCTCTCAGTACTCTACTGATACTCATTTACCTTAAATGAGAAGTTGAGCAAAATGTATTCTACACCTTCTTTTTCTTTTAAGACCTGAAGATCACTATGTAACGGGCTGTCAGGATCAACTCTAGGAATTAAACAGGTGGGAAAAGCAAAACAGAATGAAATGAATTATTTGGCTTTCTATAGAAGAGAAATTACCCTTAAAGAGTTCCTTTATCTTCTTTAATGTTCTTGCAGTTTCAGTTAACTTTTACAATTCTTAATCAAAGCACAAATGCCAGGTAAACACTCTGCAGTTGAAAGTAGCAGCAAGAAGATTCACTGTGATGTATCATGTTCTTACCAGATTTATGTTATTCAAGGATTTGAAATGCAGACATTCAAAATAAAAAACCCTTTTGTTTGAAAATAGTAATTTGTTTTCTCGTCACTGAAATTTGGTATCCTTCTAAAAGTTAAATGCTTTTAAATGAAGAGATTTTTACACTCGTCCTCAAACCTTCAATGTTTACTAACTGAACGAGTTACATTTGATGTATAGTGCAGAGTTCTAGATTACCACTGAATCAGAAATTCTGCATCTGTGGCATTAGTAAAGCCAACGGTCTTTGCTATCAGCACAATTTCAACAACCCTGTTTGTAGGCAGACACTGATGGCAGGATTATAAATAGCTAGCAGCCTGGTTATCAATTCTTGCAGTGCTAGGTTAATCCTACCTCAAGAACTGGCATCCCAATACACTTTTTAGTAAGAACACAGACACAGTCCCTTCCTTGTAAGTTTGGTTACATATGTGCTGGATGCATCAAGCACTTTGCTGAAGACCGTAGATATTCCACTGGAAGCCAGTAGCACTTCTCTGAATGCCTACAACCACACTAAGGCTAGGTCTACACTGATAATTGAATGACACAATTTTGTCGTTCAGAGGTGTTAAATCTCCAGAAAGACAAAAGTTTTGCCACGACAAGTGCCAGTGTGAACAGAGGCTTGTCAGCAGAACGCAAATGCCACTCGTTGCGGGTGGAAGTTTTTTGACGGCAGGAGAACCGACAAACAGCGGCTATACTGCCCGACTTTTAGCAGCATGGCTATAGCGACATAGCTGTGTCGCTAAAAGCTGTGTAGTGTAGACAAGCCCTCAGAGAGGGAAACAAGGCTTGTGCTCATGGCAGCTGGGGGTGGGTCAGTGATCCATCCAGAGAGGGTGTTCCCTCACAGCAGTTGTCCTGTGTGTCCATGCAGTTCTGGGAGAACCTCATAGCAGTCTGATGGGATCCACTCCATCACTTCTAGGGGACAGATGTAACTAGCTTGGTTTGGGGTATGTTTTTCCTTCTTAGAGGTTAATCTGTAGGTTAGCATGTTACCCTATCACCAGGGATGATTTCAAGGGAACAGCTCTGGGAATATTTTTTAAGGTAAAAGATATATACACATTAAAAGTATAGATGTGTCAGTAGTATTGGCCAACATGTGTAGTAAAAAGCCTAAGATTTTCAATCTTGTTTACATTTCATAGTTCACACACAGGTGATTAGGACTATATCCTGGAATTGTATTTTTTTCATTTAGGCATATGTCATTGTTGAGTCATAAAAATAAAAGCTGCTAATGCCAGTAAAACAGTTCTGTTCTTTTGTATAACTCAAAAAGGATCAAAACCTATTTATTCTTCAAGTTAAAAAATTATTCAGTACGACACGTTCACCATTTTGTAAGGGTTTGGGGAGAGAATCTTGGTGGTCAAAAATTATGGTAAAAGAGCACTGGTTTGACAGTGTAAATTCAGGTATATTCAGTGCCAGCTCTACCAATGCAGTTCAGTTCAGTCTGCATTAAATTCCAAAGACCTCTATCCAGGAAGCCTTCATAGTACATTCTAGCTAGACAGTGTCAATTCCATATTGTAATCTGTGTAGCAGCATTAAAATGGGTTCTTTAGGAGAGAGAGTTTTAAAAAAAAAAAAAAAAAAAAAAACTTACTTTAGAAGTTTAACGTGCCACTCATACAGGCTGTCATTTACAAGTTCCACTGAATAAATCCCTGTGGAAGTATTAGAGAAGTTATTTAGGAACCAGAATGTACTGTTCTGAATTAACTGTGTAACACCATCCCAAACAGGTTATGTTTTATCATCTTTAATAAGGAAAAGCATATAAAATCTGTTATATCCTTTTAAGTGCCTGACCAGGCCAGTCTGTGGCTATAAGCAACAATTAATCTATCAGATACATCAAGGGATAAGAGCCTCAATTCAAGATGTGCTTTCCCTTAGATAACCATAAGTACTTTCAGAATAAGGTTACAAAAAAGTCAATATCTGTATCTCCTAATAGTTTCAAATGGGAATACCACACAAATCAAGGGTGTCCCTTCCCATTCTAGAATTTTTCCACTTCTGTTCTCTTCATATTTCCTAACATCTATAGCCACATCTCATTCAATGCTGAACAGGCTTCATCTCCTGTACGTATGCACAAAGATTAGTATTATGCACGTTAATCCAAACCAACAGTTTCCTAATTTGCAGGTGGGGGCTGATCCAATCAATGTTGCCAGAAAGGTAACCACTGAATAGAAAATAAAAAAAGGGGGTTGCTATCACAGTGGGTAGTGACAGACACTCCAACAGCAAACAAAAGGATGTCAGTCTCTGGCAGCCCGTAAACGGCATGATTTGGGACTCTGATCTGTGTATGTTTAAACTGTTTATTGTACAAATTAGAATTACAGATTATACTGAAAATGTGCCTGCTGCCTTACATAACTAAACTTCACCATAGCATTTTAAGGAGTCAGTATATTAAGTACAGGGAATACATAAACAGTCAAGTAAACCTTTTACCGTATAAGGCAAGACTGGTATGTTTTTAAAGATGTAATTTTTACATGGATAAAAGTCACATAATTACACAGGCAGGAATAGTCTGAAGATTATAGTTCCAACAGGAGAGTCTGGTAACTATGCAATCTGTAGAAATCTCATTCCTTTCTGAAGGAATATATAACTCCAGTAATCACCTCCACCATCTGATTCTTTGATACCCAAGGCTGTGATTTTATCACTGGTAATCAATTATGAGTTATTATTCTAGGATCTTTGCATTTGGAATTGTTAGTGTTGGTGCAAATCTGTGAGCTATGGATGACCAAGCCACTCATCTGTCAAAATACACTCTCAGACTTCTTTCTTATAAAATTATGTTCAAACTAGATATATGGCATCACAGCAAAGACACAGACAAGTGCATGCAGAACTTTTAGAGACCACAATTGTACATTCTCAGTCTTCTAACACCAAGACAATCAGTAGGGAGAAAAAAAATTATCTATAGGGCTCTCAGGCTACAGTATTCGACAGTCACATGGTTTCAATACTTTCACTCCACACAGTAGCATAATCTTAGCGAATTGGCCCATTATGCCAGTCTATAGGTGGACAGTCTGCTAAACACTTCACAGAGGCATTGAAATAAGGCACCCTGGTCAGTAGTTGCATCTAAAATGACTCAATACCATTAAATCCACCTGAGACAGTGCACATGCATATTTAATGAAGACTTTAGCAACCAGGCTTCCTGCCTTTCAAAAGGATACTGCTCTTGATGGAAATGGCTTTCCTAAAATAAACCTGAAATCCCCACATAGACAGCAAAGCACACTCCATGATTTAATGCAGCTAAGAGCAAATGGCCTAACTGTAGATTCTTCTCAGCCCCACTGACTAGTTTCTACTGGCTTGAAGGGGTAATCTGAACAAAAAGACAGTGGTGGATCGTGTCACAAAATGAACACTCAACAGCAGCAGGCAGCATGAGATTAGCACTATTCTGTATGATCAGATCTGTATTTCAAACCAGATAAATATAGGAAATCCATAATAACGTTAAAGTAAATATTCTGAAATGGAACTGAGACAGTCTCAGACTGGTGGTCTTACTTGTTCAGTTTTGTCCTTTCTTAAATATAAATTAAAATACCAAAGCCACTGAGTGAGGGTCAGCCACATTAGAATGAGAAAACTGGCACAGTAACTCAAAATAGGACAGGCAAAATGCAGAGAATGCCTTTAGACAAATCAGAGCAGCAATCATTCTTTTTAATTTACTTGAGAACAAGGCTTCCTATCCTGACAGCTGGGACAGGCATTTTCCTGTCAGACAAGCAAATCCGAAGACTTTTGATCAGGAATTCCCCCTATTCCCACCCTGACCTGTACCTGTACTCTTGTCCCTTGTGTGGGCAAGAAATAAGACATTAGGGCTGAGCCAGTATGGCTATGTTCTGCTCAGGAAGTTACAGCAGATGAATCTACTATAACAACTATATTATAAAACTTCTACTCACTACAGAAAGCGACCAGACAACACAATCCACTCACCCCACTGTTGTGCTATTTCAGGCAATTTCTATATACAGAGTAAAGAGGATAGCCAGCCTTTATCTGACTAAGCTAATCTATTGGGGTAAATGATGAACACTTGTTTACAAAATAAACATACAACCATGGTTTTTCAATAGTTTCAGTAGTTGAAAGGGCAGGACGTGTATGTGCAACACTGTATGCATACAGAATCTGAGCATCAGAGAGTGTTATCAAAGGAGAACTGATAGATAAAAATATGGCTAAGACTAAATCTCACTTATTGCATTCAATAGAAAAGGGCTTTGGAATCAAGTGCAATCCCTTGTGTGCCAGGAATATTTAAATTGCTTCAAATGTAACATGCAGTACCACATGACCAGGACAGCACTGCAAGATTTTTGCCCTATGTACCTGGGGTGGGAGGGCTAGATCCCAAGAGATGCTGAAAAACCACAATTCCCACTAAAGTCAATGTGATCTCTGGTGTTCAGCATCACCTCTAGACGGCACTCAAGCGGTTATATTAATGCTACTACTGTTAACATGAAATTTTATGTAGCAAAGAAGCCAGGTTAGAAAAATATGAAAGCCAGAAAAAAAAAATTTACAGGTGGAATGCTTAAAGAAAATTCAAGTAATTCAACTTCAAAATCTGAAGCGAAGATTAAAAAAAATGCACATAATGAAATAAAGTACAAAACAAAGAGCTAGTAGCAGAGGATATTTACCAAGAGATAAAAAGCTTCTGACTTGCATTTCTAAGGAGAGAAATGTAGAGCACCTTACCTGTTTTATAACTCTGTGATCTGTAGATATCCCTGAGCTCTTTCATAAGTCGATCTGAAGCCTGGACTGACCCAGACACTGCACCCTAAAATTAAAAAACAGGCAACAGTTAACAGCTTCATTTGTATTACTAATGCTTAAAAAAAAAATCTGTATACTCGCAAAGTCTATGCAACTCTATTAAGGTACCACAAAATGGTAGAGTATATTAATTTCACAGATCTAGCAGTCATGCAAGTTGAGAAGTCAAGTACCTATATAGTCAGAATCCCCAAGTCAGTTCCACACTCCTAGTTTAGCAACATTTCACATGCTGAATAGTATGGTACATTGTATTTACATTTAACAAAGAAAACAGCAATACAAGAATATATACATGTGACAATGCTTTAGGGAAGTGCAAAAGATTGCAGCAACAAATTTAAGGAAAAAACCCAAGTTCCTTCAATGTAGTGCAGGTAGAGTGGCTGCAATCCAGTGGTGCTTAGGAACTGTGCAGCCACAGTATCTTCAAAATGCGTACTAGTTTTCAAGGGCAAACAAAAAATACTAATGCTTCTACACAAAAGCTGCTGGCTTTAAACATCTATCCTTTTATACATGTAGCTTGTTTTCAAATCTTGCAGAAAACTAGCCACATGTCTAAATACAGTAACTCATCACTTAAAGTCATCCCAGTTAACATTGTTACGTTGCTGATCAATTAGAGAACATGCTCTTTTAAAGTTGTGCAATGCTCCCTTCTAACGTTGTCGTTTGGCAGCCGCCTGCTTTGTCCACTGCTTGCAGGAAGGGCAACCCGGTGGAGCTAGCTGGTGGGTGGTTAGAACCAGGGTGGACCGACAGCCCCCCATCTATCAGCTCCCCGCTCCCCTAAGTTCCCTGTACAACAGCTGCCCAGCAGGCTAGTAATTGCAGCTGTCCCTCCCCACACTGCCATGTGCTGCTCCTGTCCTCTGCCTTGGAGCTGCTCCCCGAGACTCCTGCTTGCTGGGGGGGGGGGGAAGAGAAAGAGCGGGGCTAATGTCAGGGTGTCCCCCTCCCCCCTGCTCCTGCACCCCGCTTACCCCATCTTCCATAGAGCAGGGGCAACACAAGACAGAGGGAGCTTCCAGGCAGCAGCAGCTGCAGCTTCGGTCTGGTCTCAGCTTGCTGTTCTAATTAACAAGGCCGTGTACTTCTGACCCCACTCTTCATACTTAAAGGGGAAATGCACATCTCTCTCTCACTCACACACACACAGGGTGTGCATCTCTGTCTGCCCTCCCTACTTTCCTGCTGCCTTGTACAGTAGAGTGTGAGAGTTAACCCTTAAGGGCTCAGCCAATTGCTAGTTCATCATTTAGCAATAAGGCATTCCCTGGAAACATCCCATCCTCTGACTCCTCCACCTCAACCAAGCTTCACAATCATCATCACTGTGTACCAGTATTAAATTGTTTGTTTAAAACTTAGAGCACGCGAGAGAGAGAGAGAGAGAGAGTGTAAAATATAGTCTTTTGTCTGGTAAACATTTTTTCCCAGGAACCTAACCCCCTCATTTACATAAATTCTTATGGAGAAATTGGATTCACTTAACATCGTTTCACTTAAAGTCACATTTTTCAGGAACATAACTACAACGTTAAGTGAGGAGTTACTGTACCATTGGACCTCTGTGAGTACGAGTTCTGATCATGACATGCAGGAAATTATCTTTCCCCTTCTTCCCACTGACAAGTTCTTATAACTCAACTGAATTGATTTTGCTCAGAGTTCTAAAAGGAATTAATCTTTGATTCAAGATCAAGCACTGAAAATTTCTGCACAAAAGGAATTTTGAAGTTTATGAACAACTAAGAGAAGAGGCCACCCCACCGAAAGTTGTCTGTTAAAGTGAGGCAATGTAGTAGAAGATGTAGATATACACACGCTTGTGCACGTTGTGTTGAAGTAAAGTAAAATAAAATAAAGTAAAAGCAGTTTATTGTAGTTTAAGTACTCTTAAGTTTATAAATGCTGTGATTTAAGTACTCTTCCTTTTCTCAATTAGTTGTTTTTTTGTCCTCCGGTCCCCCAATGTTTACCCAGAAAACTGTGAAGTTTGTTTTTTGCACCCAATTTTCACGCATTTTTAAAAAATTTGTAACAAACATCAATCAATTCCCAGGAAATCATAAAGACCAAACATTGAATTCTGTGAAGCCTATCTTTATTTTATAATTTCAATGGATATCATAAATATTTATTTTTAAGCATGTTTTTCTATTTTTATCTATTTAAATGTTCACAGTTGTGGGAAATTATAGAATGGTGGTAAAATAATTGTCAACCCCCATTGTTTTGTGACAGTAGATGTTGAGATTAAAAAAGTTAAAGCTTTACCATTGTTAAAACACAAATTGTCAACATCACATGTCAAAATATACAAACTATATTATATCCTTAAATCAAACTTCAACAAGTTCTTAGGCAGAGTAAAAAAAAAAGTTGCTTATCTGTACATTTCTTTTATCAATGGGAATATATTTTGTCGGTTTGTGTGTACAGTGAAATATACTGATAATCTATCCTTCCAAGCCTACCTATACAGTATACCAGTAAAGCACTCGTAGTGTAGACATGGCTCTTGTCTTTCAACCCAATCTATTATATTGTACCAGTGAACACATCAGATGAAGAAAATGCAGGGGCTCTGTAAAATTGCCCATAAATGTAACTGTTATTAATTCCCCTTTTCAGAAGTAATCAGCTCCTTAGAAAAGGGCTGCTAAGATTATGCAAAGTGTATTGTATTATTGCTCACTTCAGACACACAGGAATGACATTTCAGATTCTTGCCTAGATTTACAAACCTGATACCTCATTCAAACTCCTCAATTCTTGTCTCCCACTGAATTCATGTTATCATTTGTCCTGTACAGAAAGGGCTTATTTTCTGGATGTTTACAGGGAACCCAGGAAATTGGAGAGAACCCCTTAAATTAAATGTCAGATGAGTCTGGATATATAAATCTCTAATGATGAGTTCATTAGAAAAGTACCCTATATACTCATTCAGAAGCCAAATTTTTTTTGTAAAAAAGGGAAGCACCAGAGAAGGGGGTCAGCTTATGAACGGGTACAGAGAGGGAGAGGTGGGACACAGTCCCTCCCCCCAACAGAGGGAGCAAGGAGAGGCAGCACAGCCAGCAGAGCCAGAAGGGAGGAGGCGGGGCCAGAGTCTCTCCGCTTCTGGCCACGCTGCTCTCCCCCAGCCTCCAAAGCAGCTGCAGCTCCGGGGCTGGCAGGCTGCAGCCACACCGCTTGGCCCCGCCCCCCAGAGGAGGCTGTGGCCGCGCCGCCCGGTCTGACCTGCCGGAGCAGCTCCAGCCAGGCCAGAGACATCCTCCCCTGGCCCTCCCCAGATAAGGTGGGAAGGGATGGGATGGGGAGAGTGTGGGGGTCCCTGGCTAGGGGTGGGGTCATGTGGGGGGTGGTCACAGGGGTTACTCCCCCGACTCCCAGTTTCTCCCCCCCAAAAAGTTTCCACACCAGTTGCTGTCCTGGCCCGTCAGAGTAAGCAGCTGGCACACCAGAACACTTTGTTTACTTAGGTTTACCTCCGTGCCTGCGGGCGCTGGAGGTAAACAAACCATCTCGGCCCACCAGCAGCTTATATTGATGGCCCGGGAGCCAAAGTTTGCTGACCCCTAAATTATAGGGTTGGCTTATGAACAGGTTATAAAAATTTTCCATTTTTACTTATCCATCTTGTGGGGGTCGGCTTATAAATGAACCAGCTTATGATCAAGTATATATGGTACGAACCTCTTTATGAAGAGAAGGCAAACTCAACTGGCTATTGTACTTCAGAGGGACTTTTCACCACAACTATTCAGTGAATTAAAAAAAAAAAAATAATAATGATTGGGACTTATTTAGAAGCCTCTTCCTGAAACTGAGCACAAAGTGGGGGATAGCAAATAAAATGTGGTTTCACTCAATTTATATTTCCATTAATGAGAGCCAAGCATACAGGCCCACTTTTCAGTTTATCAGTACCTGAACTCAGATAGCAGAAGTCTGAATGAGTCTGATGGGATAAACTTTCTCTAGGAAATTGGCTGCTACCTAAAACTGAGAGAAATTAATGGCGTTTGAAGATCCAGAGGATGTGGGGGAAAGGAATAATGGTTGTGAGGTTTCACTCCATATTCTTTATGAAAATATACTTATGATATGACTGACATAACTGAGATATACTTTATGCAAGGATGGGTCTTGTAAGGTATCATTGGAAAGGTTATGATTTACTGAATGTGATTATCCAATTTGTATGAATGTATCATTTATGTATCTAAAGTTAGAAATATGGACTATGTAACAATTACAACTGGGTGTGTATTGGGAAGACATCCACCAGACGACAGGCCATCAAATCTGATGAGCCATCAGAAAGGAACAAAACCATGAAGATACTAATCTCTCTCCCTCCTGGGAGGCATCAGGGACAACTGTGACATTACAAGGTCAGGTGGTCTCGTCATCTGATATTAAACATTACCTAGGACTTTTTGTAACTTTCCACTGGAAGGGAAGGGGGGAGGGAGGGGTTAAGTTTGGAAAACAAATAGGATTTACATAAGGCAGGAATCCTTTAAGGATGGGGAGAAAGGCAAACGGGACTTCTCCTCTCCATGGCCTGTCTGCCCAAGAGGAGAAACTGCTAAAGCCACCTGAAGAGAAGGCAGAGGGGAGTCTAGCCTAAGACAAAAGGTCCAATCTGAAAAGAAATATAACTGGAATGCTAAACTACAGAAACTTTGCAACCTGCCTAAAATAATATTATGGGTAAGAAATTATATTTTGTAACCTGTTTCTTAAGTATATTGAGCTTAGCTTGCATACTTTGTTTTATTTGTTCAGTAAACTGCTTTGTTCTGTCTTTTATCTCTTATATTCACTTAAAATTCACCTTTTGTAGTTAATAAAATTTGTTTTGTTTATTATTTAACCCAGTTTCTAGAATTTCTAACTGGGGGGGCAAAAAGTCGTGCACATCTCTCTTCACAGTGAGCAAGAGGGCAAATTTTATGAGCTTGCACTGTACAAGTATTTCTCTAC